ACATTTAATCAACTACCAAACTCACAAATTTTGTATTTTATCTGTTTGTCTGCTTTGTTCTGTTAGAAATGTAATATAATTGGTTGCCCTGTCACGACAAAAAAAAAAAAAATCTACACCATACAACGAATGCGGTTTGACCTCACTTCTGACTGTGATGGCTCAATGCAATGTGTGGAGGAGGAGGAAGCAGAGGAGTCTTACCTGGAGGATGGCGCCATAGACGCGGAGCAGCACCTGCCGGGGTTCGCCTTCTGCGTTGGGGAGACGCTCAGGGAGGCTGCACTTGTAGAGGAGGTTGCTCAGCCCACCGCTGCGGAGAGAGAGAGAGGAAAGGTCAGTGTTGTGGCTGCCACAAACCAGGCAGCCTTGGTTGAGAGAATCATTGAAAAGCTAGAGCCAGATGGGCTGCTGCAAGAAGATGTCCCTCCCACAAACACAAAGTGGTTGCAATGTAATGGTTGGAGCTCAGCCTGTGATTGTGTTTTGGGATCAGGGTGTTTCGGATGTGGGGAGTGATGTCAATGAGTGTCAAGATGGCAATCGTTTGGCCAGTGATATCGATGCACAGAATGACCAAGAGGTCCCTGTTCAAAGTGTAGTTTTCCATGAGAATGCCCCTGAGGGGAGTGTGGATGGTGGTGTACTCCCTGAATTGCTACCAGAGAGTTCCCAGGATTTGGGGCTTGAAAACAACTTGGCACCTGCAAAAGTTAATGAGCAAGTAGATAGATGGCAGGAGATTAGTCAAAACAGATAAGCCAAACAGTGCCTTCGGCATACTGCCAGGCTCCGACAGTAAAAGATAAGGAATTCTCAATTAAAGCGAAACCAATTTCTGAGTACTTGGAATAGCTTAATGAGGGGATAAAAGTCTCCGCTGCAGAGAGAGGAGGGCTAGGCCAAAAGGTTATTGGCTAGATTCCAGAAAAGGGGGGAATTTTGTTTGGAATTATTATCAGTGATAAATTTCCTGAGATAATCTCTTGTTTTGTTAACATCAAGATTTGAACCAAGAACCCATCTAAGAATTGTACCTCCGACGTAACCAGGAGCTTATGTACCAATAACTTACTGAAACCACTACGCATTTGTACCAGAAAAAGTTTAAGCCTGTTAAATAAACGTTTTATTATAGTTAACACTTTACAACAGCCTGTGTGTGAACCTCATTGGGATCTAAACCCTCTGAAGAAAAATAAACATTATAGTAACTGTCAGAAGGGGGTTACTAAGTATTCTCTACATACATATAACTCAGCCTGAATATTAAACAATAAGGTGGCAACGTACCCAATTGAAGAGGCCTTTTAAAAAATCCTCTCAGTTCAGACGTAATTCAAATATATATACACATAGTTATATCTGGCCAGATCCGCCTTCACAAACAGTGCCTTTGGCATACTGCCAGGCTCTGACAGAAAAAGATAGGGGAATCTCAACTAAAGCGAAACCAATTTCCTAGTGCTTGGGATAGCTTAATGAGGGGATAAAAGTCTCAAGTACGGGAAATGTAGCCGGATGAAGCATCGTTTGGAATCAAGTTTTCGTCCTTGTTTCATGGAAGCCTTGCTAGGAAGATTCACGCTCAAGTATTTCTTGTTTCATGGTTTTGATTCTTGGATTTGATGATTGCATACTCATGCCTTGGATTAATGTTTCCTGGGTTTCTGGATTATATTAGAGAAGTGAGGACTTTGTTTTCATGGACGTTGCTGAACTTTTCCCTGGACTATTTTGTTCTTGCTTGTCTTCTTACCTATCTCTTTAAAGTGCTTTTTACTTTGCTATTTCTAAATTATCTCCAATAAAAGGATTGTTTTTCTATTCAACGCGTGGTGTTTTAAAGTCAGAGGGCTTTTCCTGTTCTGGAGTGCAACAGCAATAAACTTTTCCCAGTGGGCGGGGACGTAGCGAGTGAGATTGAAGAGGATAGGGTTAGGTTAGAGTGGGCAGGGCCTCCAAGAGCTGCCAGAGAATCATAGAATCAAAGAGTTGGAAGAGACCT